TGATGATGTGGAAGAAAGATGCAAAACTTGCTAGAGCAATATCCTTCAGTGGACAAAAGTCAGCGCAATAAACACTCAAATGGAGGGAGAGCTTTCGGATCATCGTATGGGTTATTCATCGATGGTAACAAGAGAGAAGTGAGACTATGCAGGTGACGATTTGATAAGTAGGAAGTTGTGGCAAGACAGAAAGCTCTCCTCTGACAATCTAAATTTTCTCAGTGAAGTCAGATATGAGGCCATCTGTGGAGAATGAAAATAGTGAAGAAGTATGGTTTTGAGGAGAAAGGAAGTGGTGAAATAGTCATATAAGCTGTGGGAGACTGAATGCACTGAGGAAGTCTAAGATGATTGCCTGGTAGTCACAGGAGCCCACTTGTGGTATGTGGTCATAAGTCTGAAGTAAAACTCATCAGCATGAAAGTGTGGGGTTTTTTCTCTAGCCATATTCAGCCAAGATCAGGCCAAAACTAGGAAGAGAGTTGAATTTCCCCAGGTTTGTGGTTTTGCCATGTGAGTATAGCAATGACATGAAATGAGGGCAAGGTGACTGAGGGTAGATGAAAGGCAATGATTGTTGGCAGTGCTGTAGCTCTGTGGGTAAGGTATTGGCCACATACACTGAGGCTGGTGGGTTTGAACCAGCCCAGCCAGCTAAAACAATGTCAACTGCCACAAAAATAATAGCTGGGCATTGTGGTAGGCACCTGTAATCTCAGCTACTTGGGAGGCTGAGGCAGGAGAATCGCTTAAGTCCAGGAGTTTGAGGTTGCTGTGAGCTGTGACATCACAGCACTCTACCAAGGGTGGCATAGTAAGACTGTATCAAAAAAAAAAAAAAAAAGAAAGGGAAGAAAGGCAGTGATTATAATGGTTGTTTTATTTATTATGAGATTTATGTATTAATATTTTAAAACAGGGGAAACATGAGTGAGGGATGAGCTGAAAATGCGGTGATTGTCAGAGAGCAGGAAGCACAAAATCATGATTATGGAATTATGGAGAGGTTATAATTGTTGGTAATGGTAAGGTTTGGGCTATGACCAGGGAAGTGGGTGGCTGAAGAAAGGTGATGAACAAAGATTATTGAAGAAGATGAGTTCAAGGGACTGAAAACAGCAGTTGGAAATATCCTTGACACATGTATTAAAATCACCAAGCATTACAACAGTGAAAATATTAGCACAAGTGTCCATAAGCCAAGAACTACAATCCTTGAGAAATGAAGAGTAATAACCTTGAGATTGGCAGATGAAGGCAAGAGCGAGGGGATAACTGGTGATGTAATCCAATGTCATGAGATTCAAAACTGGAAAAAGGGTCTGAAGTCAGCAATGGGGAGTAAGGCAGATGGGGACGCCGATGGTTTGAGAGCTATTGAATAAAAGCCACTTGCTGTTTGAAAGGGCTGAAGCAGCATCAATGTCCCCAGGAAAGAGTCAGGAGTGAAACACTGAAGGAAATGTTCACAGAAGAGGTGAGGAAATTGGAAATGTTGCTAAAAACAGATTCCTAAATTCCAGAGGAGATGGAGCCTTAATGGGATTGAATGGGGAGATGGAGAATGTTCTGGGAGTCTGGATTCTTTGAGGTAACAAACATGACCAGGCATAAAGATTAATCCTGGTGTAATCAAGGCATATTGTAGTCACAGGATGGACATGTGAAGAGGTAGAGAGAAATGGATTTCTGGAGCCTCCAGTGATAATAATAATATGATCGTCTGAATATTAGTAGCATATGACATTGTTCACTGTATATGCATATGACATTGTTCACTGTATATGCATACATCAGAGAAACCAAAGACAAAGATACTTATGCATGCCTGACACTGTGCCAAAATAAATGTTTATCATTTGTTTATTTTTTCAACATCCTAACTGTAAAAAGCCTTTGATGTAATATAGAGATATAAGAAAAAGAGCAAGAGATATACTTGTACCAGGCTAGTGTGAGCACGTATTCACGTATTCTTTTTCATTTGTCCACATTTGAATACCAGACTTTGGATTCCTGGTGCCTGAGTCAACAGAAATAGGCATGAAACCAGAGAGCTTTCTACAGGCAAGGCTTTTAGTGGGCCTTTCTGTTCAAACAAAAAAAAGAGATAGTGCTGGTTAAGGGGGCAACCAGACTGGCTCTCCGGACAAAGGGCTGGGGAACTGGTATGGGGTTGTAAAGAGGAGGAAGGTGTCAGTTTGACATCATCACCTATGGAAGTGGGGTTCTGTTGGGGGTGGCACACTTGGCAGTCCCACTTCTTTATGCATCATGTGTAACATCAGCATTTTAAATCTCTACCCCTGGACATGATTTTTAGCATTAAAATGAGATGTAATAAGGGAAAAGTCCATTTTGGCGTCCTTTCTGGCTTAGGTGGTTAAATCCAGCTAGGTCTGGTTTCTTTACAGCCAGGTTTCTTATTAGCTGGTGTCAGCACCTTGTTTTTATGATCCTGAAAGATATCACTCAACAGATGAACAAGCTGGACCCTCCTTACACTCCTTACATGGGTATGGGCTGAAGTCCAGCAATGAGGAGGTCATTTGGTGGTTCTTCTTTTACAGTTAGGTAAGCTGGCTGGGACATGCTGAACCACAGTGTCATCCTTGGTTACAAATGAGGTCTAAGTCCTGTCCCTGTACTGTCTTATTGGCAGGAGAGAATAAAGGCTGAGAAGTGGAGTTTGCTCCAAAATTAGGGCAGTCCCAAATCCAAGGTGAAGGACAAAGCACAAGACCCCTTCAATTCTGCTCAGAGTCCTGGATTAAGATATTAATAGTAGAGAGCTTGAGAAAAGCCCACTGAAATCCATGTTAAAAAGGAAAAAAAAAAAGTTTTTTGTTCTGAAATTTTTTAATTAAGGTTAAACACTGCATGCTATGAAACACCCTTATTGGTAGAGATGAGAATTCACGTCTGTTCAGCAGACCTGGTCAGGTTCACCCAGCAGAACTAGCAGGTTTGGCTGAGTCAAAGGGAGAGCAAGACCCTGGCAGAGTGGAAATGAGGCAGCTGGCACTACAATATAGGAAAGAAAGAGGTGGAACTTTTATTTAAAGTAGAGTCTGGGAGGTTGAGGTGGGAGGATTCCTTGAGTTCAAGAGTTCAAGGCCAGCCTGAGTAAGACTCTGTCTCTACTGAAAATAGAATAAATTAGCCATGCACTATAGTCCCAGCTACTCAGGAGGCTGAGGCAGGAGGATAGCTCGAGCCCAGGAGTTTGAGATTGCTATCTAGGGCACTCTAGAGTGGGCAACAGAGTAAGAGTCTATCTCAAAACAAACAGACAAAAAAAAAAAAAAAAAAGTAAAGCAGAGATAAGCTTTAAAGTAAAACAAAGATAATCATAGAGTTTTCTAGGAGATTGGAAAAGAATCTCTCTTGAGTGAGAGGAGCTGACACCCAAAGACAATGCAACTATATAGGTACTTTCATCCAATTCCCCTACATTTCTCTGTAAGGATCCCCATGCGTTCCCCTAGGCTTTCTGCCACGCTCTCCTGATTTCATTGGTTGTTGTTGAACCAACATTGTTGTCACATAAATTCAATTTTCTTTATTCTGTATCGATAATTATCAACCGTTATTTTACTAGTGATTGGCATGCCGTCTGTTAGTCTCATGATATTTGTGGTAAGTATGGTGTGCATTGTTCTGTGAGGGGGATCCTTATGTCAGTTTTATGGGGAGATCATTTATTGGCTAGACGTCCTGGGTGGCAGGCTAGAAGTTATAATTTTACAGGAATAGCACATACTTGGTTAACTAGGTCACACCCACTCTAAATTCCTCCTTTTGTGTCAGGCTCCTTTCCAACTTTTTTGTCCAGAGGCCTTAATTCTCTCCCATTCTCAGTAGCCCCTTTAACTAACTCCTTTTCATCCTTAATCACTTATCATATTTAATCAATGCCTGGCTCACTAAACAGAGTCAAACTTTTATTTAAAAAAATTGTTTTTTCTAATTATAAAAGCAATACAAAATTGTTGTCAAAATTGATAGATTCAAAAAAAGTATAAAATATAAAATAATTTTACCAGCTGAATGAAGAGCTATTAACATCTTTATATAGATAAGTGGATATATACTTTGCATGCAATTTTTTGTAGGTGATTTTAATCATGTGCCATCTAGAATTCTGTTTACTGCCTTCTTTTAACACTATAACATAGCATATAGTACTTACTAAAAAATATTTTTAAACCTAACCTTAGAGCTTGCATAATGGTCTGTCTTACAGTAGAGATACGCCATAATCTATTTAACTACTCTTCTATTTTGAAAAGTTAAGATGCTTCCAAAAATTTTCTATCATTAAAAAAATAACAGCATCAGGGGCATCTTTGTACATAATTGTTACCTTTTGTGGTTATAATTTTAGATAGATTTCTGCAAGTAAAATTACTTGGTTAAAAGGTGGGGATAATTCTGATTCTTGAAATATTCTGCCAAATTACTGTCTGGAAAACATGTGATTACCCATATGCTTATCAAAAGTCCATGAGAGGCCACATTTTAATGATTGTCTTTATTATTCATAATGAATAGTCACCGACATTTGCTGTGCACTTCCCACATGCAAGTCCTTCACATCCTGGAGCCTGAATTCTGACATAGTGAATAGGATGTTACCAGCTGAGGAAGGTGGGAAGACTCTGGTTTCTTTGTGGCCCCTGGTTTTCTAGGATATAGTGATGATGGTTCACAGATCTACCGCAGGCATTTGGAAACCTTACAGAACTCTTAATGTTCATTTCCAACTCATTCCACCAAGGAGAAGGAACATGGGTTTTGGAGTCCTTCATACATGGTTTCAAAATATGACGCTGCCACCTAGCTCTGGAAGAAACTGAGGAATTTATTTAGTCTCCCTGAGCTCTGATGTCCCCAGAATGAGGATGATAACTAACAATACCTACCTCATAGTCTGCATGAAGAGCATTTTTAATTCATATGGTCTCTTAGCATTCTCCCTTTACTTCTTATCTTTTCAGGATTTCCTGTTTGAAGGGCTCAAGGACTGTAACAGAAAATGATTCTACTGAATAATTCCCAGAAGCTGCTGACCCTCTACAAATCCTTGGCCAGAAATATCCCTGAGTCCCTGAAGGTGAAGGGCAGCGGGGAGGTGAGGGAATGGGAGTGAGGATGCAGAGAATAAGAAGCAAACAGGCTTCTCCTCAGGAGGAGGCTGGAGGCTACTCTAGGGTTTAATCGTCCATTTGGAGAGTCAGTGGGGGTGCTGAGCAGGAGATAGGTTTTGAAGCCAGACTGAAGGGTATGTCTGCTGTCGTCTGGTTTGGTGGCACTGGGTGTGCTTCTTTACCTTTCTGTGCCTTGTTCCTTTCATCTGTGGTATGAGAATAATATTAGCATTTGCCTTTTAAAGTCATTTTGAGCACTCAATAAATCCATACGGCGTATGTGCTAAGAGCGTCGCGGGTGTCCAGACAGGCACAACGGCTCTGTGAGTTCTTCTGCCTTCTTGCTGGCAACTTCACTTCCATTGAAATGGTTCTAGAGACAGCGCTTATCTGACTACCACCACTGACTTAGGCCCAGGGCCCTCGCTTGGCCTCCATTTCTCTCTTCCTCATCACGTCCAGGTCCCCGTCTCTGAAGCCTACAGCCTCTGCTAGTCCCTCTGCTCCTCTTGCAGGTGTACGGCTCTGTGTATTACATCAATCACGGAAACCCCTTCAACATGGAGGTGCTGGTGGACTCCTGGCCTGAGTACCAGACGGTTATCGTCCGGCCCCAGAAACAGGTAGGCACTCAGTGACAAGTGGGGCCAGGCAGCTCCAAAGGACTCACTAGCGCCATTTGTAAGATGATAGAAAATTTAGAGAATTGTAAAGACCCTCCTTCAGTACCTGGCACCTCACGGAGCACTATATCCCCACCCTTCCAAGCACAGGACTCATCCGGGTAGGTTAGGGATGGTGGAGGCGGAGGAAGGTTGCGGGAAGACAAGGCTAACGCTGGAAGACTAAGGACCCTCTGAGATAGCAGGAGTCAGCTGTAGGGGCTGAAAGAACGTAAACCAAGAGGAAAAGGTGGGCGTGTGGGATTTCAGAACAGTGACTTAGAAACAAAAACCAGGGCAGATGTCTTCTAGCAAAAATGGCCTCTTAGCAACCAGGAAGGAACTCATGATTCCTGAGAGCTAACTGTGTAGAAGCACCTCCCTGGTTAGTGAATGTCATCCTCAGAACAACCTTATGAAGTGAGCACTAATATCTCCAATTTAGGCTCGGCGCCCATGGCACAGTGGTTATGGCACCAGCCACATGCACTGAGGCTGCCGGGTTCAAACCCAGCCAGGGCCAGCTAAACAACAATGACAACTGCAACAAAAAAATAACCGGGTGTTGTGGCAGGCACCTATAGCCCCAGCTACTTGGGAGGCTATGGCAAGAGAATCGCAGGGGTCTAAGAGTGGGAGGTTGCTGTGAGCTGTGATGCCAGAGCACTCTACTAGGGCAACCTAGTGAGACCCTGTTTCAAAAAATAATGATAATAATAATAATATCTCCAATTTAGGAATAAGAAAACCACACTGAGAAATATTAAATAACATGGCTTCAGGAGACCGAGTGTTAAAGCCTTGTCCCACCTGAATTCAAATTCAGGTGACTGCCAGTTTTACTAGCTGACCACCACAAGCACTTCTCTGAGCCTTGGTTTCATCATATGTAAATGGGAATAATTCGAGTACCTTCTTCAGAAGATTATATAGGTTTATATGTATCAAACATTTGGTACACAACACATAGTTGTAAGTATTATTTACCATCATTATGGCTGAGATCACACTAAGAAGCACATGATTAAGCTGAAATGCAAAGCTAGGACAATTTCTGCCCTAGAGTCTAGGAACTTCCCCTGCACATCGAATTGGTGAACTGAAGCTTCACCAATTGGTGAACTGAAGCTAGTCACCAATGACCAGCCCAGCTTCATTGTGGGTGCGGAAGCTGAGTCCCTCATAATGATAAACGACTCCAGGTCAAAACTCGTTTCTGACCTGGACCAGGATTGGCCATAGCTTGAGCAAAGGAGGGATTCAGAGGTTGGGAACCAGGCAGGGCCTGCCACTCCCCACATACTTTTTATGAGCACTTTCTCTAGGGTTGTTCATTTTATCTCCTGGCTTCCCGACAATTTAGATTCAAGGATTAAAGCTAGGTTGATTAGATTCCATAGCCGGACTTCTTCAAAGTGTGGTATGCTAAATAACGATAGGTGGTCAAATGTTTCTTTTTATTTCAATAACTTTATAGCTATTTAGCAATGTAACTATAGCAACAAAATCATGATTTCATATTTTCATTTGCTTGAACAAGGTTAAGATTTTTCTAAACGCGAGTCAACAAATAAAAATATTAAAAATGGAAATGCTATTGTACATATATACAAATAGGACAAAAATGGAAAGATTGTAAAATAATGCAATTTGCTTTGACATACACTCACCTTTCCTAATTCCATAGCATACCATGCTCCTTTTGGTATTAAAATTCAATCTAATTTGAATCAGAACCTTTAAGGGTGGGATACAGGAGAACTTATCTGGAAAAAAATCAACAATTTTTTTTGTTAATTTTTAATCACAAAAGTAACATATGCTGGTTATACAAAGTGGAAAACTCCAGCATTGTTTTAAGAAGTTAATAATCTCTCACCTCCCTTTCTCTTCTCCTTTCCTACCTATTGGGTAATCAGGATCCTTGTTTATACTAGCACAGGTAGTAACATTGACCACACCTTCTTTCATCACTTTTAAATTTGCCTTTAACGTATGTATTATGGACATGCCTTCGGGTCAATCAATATGGCACTAACTCAACTGCGAAGCTCCACAGAGTAAACTGCAGTTGAGCCAGTCATTCTGCTATTGTTGGATTCCAATTGCACAGTTCTTTGCCACTGTAAACAATGCTTCAGTAAACATCCTTGTACACATGTCTTTACATCCTGGAGCTTTTTCTCAATAATGACTGATTTCCAAAAGAGTTGTTGCCAAGTCAAAGTACTTTTTTTTAAAAGTCTGGTAGGCAATGATAGATTCCTTTCCCAAAAGATGACCACAATTTTATTTCCATCATTAGTAAGTGGAAAAACTGGTTACCTACATTCTCCCCAGCAGTGAATATTATCTCTCTTTTAAATGACACCAGACCTATTACTTCTTTTTACTAGGTTTGAGATTCAGATCTTTCCATCTGTTACCATGGCCTAATATTAAATTATGCATTGATTTTTGGCTTATATACAGTATAAATGTAAAGGCTGGGCACAGTGGTTCATGCTATAATCCTAACACTCTGGGAGGCCAAGATGGGAGGGATTGTTTGAGCTCAGGAATTCGAGGGTAAAAGTACAATTAGCTGGGCATTGTGGCAGAGTGACAGTAGTCCCAGCTACTCTGGAAGCTGAGGCAAGAGGATCCCTTGAGCCCAAGAGTTTGAAGTTGCTGTGACTATGAACACCAGAGAACTCTACTCAGGCCAAGAGAGTGAGACATGGTCTTAAATAATAATAATAATAAGTAAAATAAACTCATTCTGACCATTCTACATTCTAAACAATTTTTAATGGTAAGCAGTTTTTCATTTCTAATTTTTTCTTTTGTTGAAATTTTTTATTTGTTTCATTACTGAGAGACAGCATACATTTCTTTTATGAGTAAATATATTGCCTTATTGTCTTGGAGAAGCACATAACCTCCTAACTCTTTTATTCCTTCCTCATCTCTACTACTCTATGATGTTCATTTTCTCTTTTCCTTTCATGTTTTTTCTTTAAATGCCTTAGCAGAAGTTTTATCTATTTCTCTATTTTTTGCCATTTAAAACTTAACTTTTAGGTTCAAGATAGCTGACTAGATACAAGGAGTATGTACCTCTTCCATAGAGGGGAACCAGCATAGTAAGTAGCTTCTCACATTTTGAACAGGTTGTCTAGAAGAAAACAATGGGATTTACCAGGGAAGTAGCAGGAAGCACCAAAAGTGGGTAGGGACAGGATTCAGGGCAACCTGCCTAGCCAGGGCCTGGTGAAGAGCTGGGAAAAGCTCCTGGACTCAGGGAAACAGTAAAAGAGAAACTCCTAGGGCTCCACTCTCTAAGATGGGCTTTTACAGTCCTGGCTACAAGAGGGCCTCCTGACTCAAACAGGTGTCAGACCTAACACAGGCGCTATTTGGAGACTGAACAGAGATTCTGCTCCAGAAAGGGACCCATATGGAAGCCCACAGGCATCCAAGCCTAGCTCAGCTGAAGCTGGGCCCCATTCCGCCAGTCTAAGTACCAGGGAACTGCAGGTGTGCCTGCAGCCACTGTGCAGCTCAGAGGAACCACAGAGGGCCAGACATTCCCACATTCCCCTGAGACAGTCCCCACCACTCTGCTGTAGGCTGCTAAGTCTGAGATTTGAGTGGACAGTATTCTCCACAGATTCTTACTTGTGATGCTTGCCTGGTGGGACTTCAGCCTTTCTGGACACCAGTCCAAGGTACTGTTTTAAGAGTCTGATATTGAGATGTGCCTCATCTTCAGGCTGAGTTTGGGCTGATGTGGCTGCAACCCCCACCTGCCTAGGGAGGGACAAGGAAAGGAGACAGCCCAGTATGCAACTGGCCACAAGTGCCAGGTGCTGTAGGAATCACATTCTGCACAGTTTTCTGCCAGAGCAGCCTGCCTGAGAAGGGCCCCACCCCCTCTGCTCACAGCCCCACGGTGCCATGTGCGGAGTTTAAAGCTAGGTTGCACCCACCCATGCTCTGAGTTTGAGCTGACACAGCTGCGGTTGTGGTTCATCAAACCACAAAGACAAAAATAGAAAAAGAAACAAAGGATGTATAAAATAAAAATTCAGTGAACAATATGACAAGAATAAACCCTCCTCTATCAATATTAATCTTGAATGTAAACGGATAAAATGCCCTACTTAAATGATATAGATCAGCAGGATGCATAAAAATCTGATCCAACTTCATCCACTTATAAGAAACTCACCTTACGCATAAAGACATAGACCGTAAGTAAAAAGGTAAAGAAAGATTTTGTGAAAACAGAAATCAAAAGCAAGCAAGAGTAGCTATACTTATACAAAAAAGACTTTGGATCAAAAACAGTGAAACGTATACAAACAAGATATCATTTTATAATGATAAAGGGATTTATTTAAGCAAGAGGTTATAATAATCCTACATACATATGCACACACCATTAGGACAACCTCCTGCTATGGTACCAAGAAGAAACAGAACTACTGAATAGACTAATATTAAGTAGGAAGATTGAACCCATAACAAAAAAAGTTCCCAATAAAAAAATCTCAAGACTAAATGGATTCACAGTTGAATTCTACCAGACATACAAAGAACAGGTGCCAGTCCTACAGATACTGTCTCACATCTTTTATGTTTACCTGGATGGAGCTGGAACATATTCTTCTTAGTAAAGTATCTCAAGAATGAAAAAAAGTATCCAGTGTACTCAGTACTACTATGAAATCAATATATAATCACCTACACATTCATACAAATGATATAACATAACTATAGTCCAGAAAGTAGGAGGGAAAAGGAGAGAGAGGGGAGAAGAGGGGAAAGGAGGGGGTAGGAAGGAGGAGAGGGTATTTGGGGGGAACCTCACTTAATGTGCATGATGCAATGGTACATTTCAAAACTATTAAGAAAAGAGTATAATTGTGATGGATGTGTTAATCGGGTCAATGTAAGCATTTCACATTGTATATCAAATCAGCACACTGAACCTCATAAATGCATCAATGTACACAGTTATGATTTAATAATAAAAAGGTTTAAACATAAAAAATGGGAAAATAAACAAAAGATGTAGAAGGAGGGAATCCTCCTTAACTCATTATATGAAGGCAGTATCACCCAAATACCAAAGCCAGGAAAGGATATGACAAAAATTAAAATTACCGATCCATAACTCTGATGAACATGGACATAAAAATCCTCAACTAAATACCAGCAAACTGACACATCAAAAGGATAATTTACCATGATCAAGTGGGTTTCATCCTGAGGCAAGAATGGTTCGACACACATAAGCCAGTAAATGTGACTCCCCACACAAAAAGAATTAAAAACAAAACCCTTATGACCATCTAAATAGATGCAGAAAAATCATTCAGTAGAAATCAAGATCCCTCTTTGATAAAAATCTTTAAAAAATAGCATAGGAGAAACATACCTCAAAATAATAAAAACAATATATGACCAACCTACGTCCGATATCATACTGAATGGGGAAAAGTTGAAAGTGTTCCCCATGAGAAACAGAAGAAGAAGTGGTCCATTGCACCACTCCTAGTCAACACATTACTGTAAGTCTTCACCAAAGCCATCAGGCAAGAGAAAGAAATAAAGGGCATCCAAATTGGAGAAGAGGCAGTCAAATCATCTCTACTTACTAATGATATAATTTTATACCTAGAAAACCATCAAGACTTCTCCAAAAGACTTGTAGACTTCATAATTCAGCTAAGTTTCATAAAATAGCATTTCTATACACCAAGAATGATCACGCTGAAAACTAAATCAAGAACTCAATCTCATTTACAACAACTACCAAAATAATAAAATATATAGGAATAAATTTAGCCAAAAGGTGAAAGATTCTACAAGGAAAACTACAGATCACTGATAAATCACAGACAACACAAACAAATGGAAAAATACCCCATTGCATATGGATCAGAAGAATCAACATTGTCAGAATAAACAGAAGCAATACAATTCAAAATATATACAAAAGATTCAATGCAATACCTATCAAAATGCTAGTGTAATTTTTCTCTAAATTCAAAATTTTATAGGACCAAAAAGTAGCCTGACTGGTCAAAGCAATCCTAAACAAAAAGAACAAACATGCACACATCACATTACCCAACTTCAAAGTGTACCAGAAGGAGATAGTACTGGGTGTCTAGACTTTGTCAGCTGAAGAGTGAAATAACAGGCCCTGAACTTACAGAAATCATCCTTAGATCTACGCTGAGCCAAATTTAAGGACTTGAGTGCAGGAACACAGACTTGTTGTAGACCAAGAATGTGTCCTGATGTAGGTATCGCAAGGAACAGTATATATATATTTGCAACAGGAGGATACGAGTGGCACAGAAGGTGGGAGAAGTGGGCAATGGAGCAACAGTTTGCATTCTTACGGTTCTGATTGGCACTCTGGGACACAACACATAAAGCACATATGCAGCTGGTGGAAGGTGACTGATTCCATCCTGTCTTTGTTCTCCATCAGATAAACAGGCTTATAACCTGTCAGTGAAATATCTAACAAATTCCAGTTCCTGGACAAAAAGTCAGCTTTACTTTATAGGCCTAAGTTTTATTACCCATGTGCCCAACTTTAGCCATCAAGGGCTCTGTTAAAATTTTCTTTTCTTTTCTTTTCTTTTCTTTTCTTTTCTTTCTTTCTTTCTTTCTTTTTTCTTTTCTTTTTTTTTTTTTTGACAATTTCAATAAGGAAATAGTGAAGATAAAGTTCAAGGGAATTGATAGGACCTCTCACTATCCTATATAGGAGATGACCGACGACATGGATCTTTACAGAAACGTGTATCGTATATTCACCAAAGTTCCTCAAAAAGTACCAGACGTCCTGGAAAATCATGAAGTCATAAACTGGGGACAGATATTTCGAATCCAAGGTAACAAGTCAGAGGCAACAGGCAACAGCAGTCCTTCTCAAATTGGGTCCTCAACTAACAGTATTAGCATGGCCTGAGAACATACAAAAAAATGTAAATTCTGAGAACTCTGGGGCTGCAAAGAGGGGTACAGCAATCTGTGGTGTAATGTGCTGCACTTGATTCTGGTATAAGCCCAAGTTTGAGCACTTCTAAGCCATTGCAGTGAGTTATTAATCAGGGGTGGGCAGCAGCAGAAGTGAGAACTCGATGATCAACAACATTGCTTTCTTCCCAGGTTGTCAAGAAAGTCTGGGTGAGGGGATAAGAGCAGTTGCATTTTCAAAGTCAGTGAGGGTGAAGTACTTGAAGGCAATCCTCTATATAACCGACGATATCCTGAAGCTCAAAGTCTGTAATAAGAGCAAGGCTGGAAGCTCCTGCAAGGCAGGCCCCCGAGAGGATGAACATGAGAGGTAGGAAGAACACGTACTCATCACTCCTGCGGCTTCTCCTGAGTGTTCTTCCTTATGTATTTTTGCAATGCACGCAAATCAGTTCTGGAGTGAGAGGATGTACTCACTCATTAGAAGGAATAAAGATTGTCAGCGCTCAAAATGAGCAGCTTTGCAATAATGATGCTTTAAACAAGGAGTGCCTGGGAGCTGTGGGATGGAACGCTCTCCAGAAATTACAGGGGGGTAAATAAAGTTTTTTGTTTTTCTTTTCCACAGCGGTGATCCCAATTTTAAGTTTTCCCGACTGGACGTCTCTCATGCGGGGCTGGTAAATGCCAGCTGGAGGCCAGGTCGGAATGAGAGGAGCCTGCGATACATCCAGGAATGCCTACAGAAGCTGCCAGCGTACTGTCTGCTGGGCCCAGACGGGGTCCCCGTCTCCTGGGTGGGCTTGGAGTCCTCTTGTGAGGCAGGAATGGCCTACACTGTAGAAAGATATCAAAGCACAGGCAAAGTGACACAACTGATACGGTCTTACATGAAGTATCTGCGTCAGAAGACTATTCCATTTTATGCCACTGTACTGGAAGAGAATGAAAAAGCCCACAGATCTCTGATGCACCATGATTTCTTTGCAGCTGCATGTGGGTGGCATCAGTGGATCTGCTACCCACCAGAAATTAGCTCCCTTTGTTTAAACAATGAAGCTGTTTAGCCATCTCAGGCAAGCCTCTCTTAATATTGAAGCAGAAGTCACAAAGTAGCTTTGCCCACTCACCAGTGTGTAGTGGGTGTTTATGGTGGGCCAGAAACACAGAGAAGTTAAAAGATAACAGCCACACTCTTCAGGAGCTTATAGTCTTACAGGGCAGAAAGCAGGGGAGAGTATAGTCTTCCAACATATGTAAGTGTTGGAAAGAACAGGTCACCAGTAAATATGTAACTAGAGAAAGCCTGGGCAGTTCTTACCTCTGGGAATAAGAATTCTTTTTTTCTTTTTCTTTTTTTTTTTTTTGAGACAGAATCTCACTTTGTCCCCCCTGGTAGAGTGCCATGGTGTTATAGCTTACAGCAACCTCAAACTCTTGGGCTCAAGGGATTCTCTTGCCTTAGCCTCCCAAGTAGCTGGGACTAAAGGTGCCGTCTATAACACCTGGCTATTTTTAGAGACAGAGTCTCACTCTTGCTCAGGCTGGTCTCCAGTTCGTGAGTTTAGGCAATCCACCACCTCAGCCCCCCAGAGTGCTGGGATTACCGGCCTGCTTTATGAAACTTAGTTGGCAGAGTCTACTATATGGAAGATAAATAAGAAACGTTAATAAAATTGTTAGTAGAATATACCTAATCTGTATTGTAAATACATCCGCTATTTGTGGATTTATGAGATACAACTACATTAAAGAATGGAGGGAGTTTTGTAGTTTAGTGACTAGTGGGATTTAAAAGTGAAGCCCCAAGCAAGTGGCTTTCCGAGGCTAACTTTCATCATTATTATGTGGAAAAGGGAATCCAAAGAACCAAGTCTGGTGGACTTGGGCCCTGTTATGGAAATGGCATTTACTATGCCTCCTTTTTCATACCCCTTTCTTCCTAAGCATCAGTGAAGCCAGCGCTGGGTAAGGTGTTTTCTGTGTCTGGCTCTGAGTTTATCCCTTGGAGTTTGCACCACAGCCATATAGGGAATAAAGGGGCGTCAGGAAGGTTCCCGGGGGGAAGGAACAACTAAGATGAAGACTAAAGAATAAGTTGGGTTGGGTGCCTGTAGCTCAGTGGTTAGAGTGCTGGCTCTGTGCACCAAGGGTGGTGGGTTCAAACCTGCCCGGGCCTACTTAACAAAAAATACATAAAATAAATAAAAAATTAAAAAAAGATAAAGAGTGAATTAGAATGCCATAAAAAAAAATGGTGGCAAAATCCAGGCAAAGCAGAGAACACATGCTAGGCGCTATTATAAGAACTTTATAATTGAAAACTTATATTACCATTTCAGATTCCCTGATCTACAAAAAAATATAATAATTATATACTTCAGGAACAAAACAGACATAATAATGATCTTGTTTGACACTGTCCTGCTACACTGCCACTGGAATTTGAACCACTATGAACATTACAGCTGTTTCAAAAAAAAAAATTAAAAAAAAAATTCAGAGGTGTCATTCTTTCTGATTATTTAGATGTGGATAAACATGTAAAGAAATCATAATGTGATTGGCATTGAGTGTAAAATTGATAATCACTCTCATCTTTCTATAAAAAAAGGTCATTGCAAAATTTAATGTTTAAATTTAATATGATTTAAAAGTTTTCAATTCTAACAACTGAGGAATTTTATAGGTTAATGAGCCCTTTCCATTTTTTTTTTAAATTCCAATTCATCTTAGACAGCTATGGTAGTTCTGATATAGCTTAGCATGAATCAATCCGTGCAGGTTGTTAAACCCCTGAGACCTGGCTATTGCTATATGAACTTAAATGAAAGCACAGTCTGAGATAGATAGGAAACATATCATTTTGAATTTTGAAGGGTAGAAAAATCTTAGATAAAAAATAAACTCGGGAACGTAGGGTTCTGTGAACACAGCTGTATTCTAGCACTCAAAACACAGGTATGAATCTGGTCAGTATATTAAAAAGAGGAAGCAAATAAAATTTGCCTATTTCAAAACAGCACCTCAGGCAGGTCCTGTATCCAGAAAAGGATGTTCATCCAGGGCATGGGGCTCAAGTTGCCTTAGCAAAGCCCAGCTGGCACTCTCCCCCTTCTGCCCATTTTCTGAGTGCAGGCCAGCTTCCCTTATCTAGCCCTGTGTAGCCTCATGAAGACAGTGATTCCCAAGCCTTCTCATATACCTGTATTAAAGAAACAACAAGAAAACATGAGAGAGAGGAAGAAGGATTTTTTTTTAATTGTGTAAATAAATCTCAAACTATCAATACTCACAATAAAGATAGATGAATTCGTTTCCCAGTAATATATCTATCTCTCTTGTTGGGTTAAAAACAGAAGCCCAAGAAGCATGGATATATTAGTCTGCTCTAAATTCCATAAAACAAATGCCATGACTGAGTGGCTTCAATAACAGAAACTTATTTCTCACTGTCCTGGAGACTGGGAAGTCCAATATCAAGGTTCTGGCAAGGCGGGTTTTATCCTGAGCCCTCTTCTCTTGGTTTGGGTAGCTGCTATCTTGTTGTATCCTCATATATCCTTGTTACATCCCATATGGTATGAGAGAAAAAGAGAGAGAAAGTTAGTTCAGTCTCTCTTCCTTTTCTTAGAAGGACACCAACTTCATCATAGGGGCTACACCCTCACCTAACCTAATTACAGTATTTCCCAAAGACTCTACTGCCACATACCATCAAATTGGATGTTAAGGTTTCAACATATGAGTTTGGAGGGCATACAAAAATTCAGTGTATTATGAAGCAAGTATATCTGAAATAAATAACACATGAGGGCTAAAAGTGTAGAAAAATACATACTAAATGAATGTTAAACTGAACACAACATCAGCACCAGGCAAAACAGAACTTCAGGCGAACAGCTCCTAAATGCAGAATCATCCCACAAGACAGGTCGTTAATTTTCCTCACAGCACAATACTAGAACTACCAAATATGTCTGGCAAAAGCTGACAGGCATACAAAAAGAGAGAGAGAGAATTCAGAAAACCTCTGTCAGCAACAGATCAAGCAGATAAAAAACAACGATAATTTGGATTTACACAATACCATTAGAACTCGGTATTTCTGGTAATTTGGGGTGATCTGCCCACTGCGTGCTTGAGCATTCCTATTCGTGTTTGCCCATTCGTAGCTGGCCAGCAGGGGCCCCGGGAGAGAGAAACACTCCACAAGGACAGTGCTGTTAACCTACCTCTAAGTCCAAAGGCCCCTGGTCCATCCCTGGGGTCATCAGCTACCTACTGGGAACATCTGTAGCCAATAACCACCACTGCAGCCTGTGGATAAATGCCACAGCTGCCAACATACTGCTTAGGGCAGGCAGGAATGTGAGGAGGAAGACGGGGGACGGAGGTTGACCACATGGGCCACCAAAACAGCATATCTCAGGCCACTTACCACCACTTCTTGCTTCTGCCATTAAGATACTTCTGTTTTTACTTTTCAAGAGCTCTCATTTCTAGCCCAAGGACTGCCATTTCTATTTTTCTCTGCTATGACAGATTTATTCTAGTTTTTTGTTTTGTTTTTGTCTTTTCCAATATTTCACATAATTATAAGTACGAAGAAGACAGACATGTGTTTCCCCACTCTGACCCCTCTCCACCTGGAAATCTCTCTCTTTACTCTTTCTCCACAGTCTTTTCTTTTACCTTCACTAAAGGAATCAACTCAAGGGTAGGGTGGCCCTAAAATTTCATGGATCCCAGTGGGCTATTTCTGAAGGCAAACTTGCTGGCCCTTTTTAGAGTCTTCTGAATGGGGAAGAGGGAGTGGGTTAGGAGGGACCATTTCTTCCTTCCTTCCTCACCCTGAAAGAGTGAACTGAGAAGGGAAAATTTAGGGTCAGTCCAAAGGAAGCTCTTGGAAAACAAGCCTTGCCACACCACCATGATTAGAGTAACCTCTGTGCCCAAGGGGGAGATTTTAAAAAATTTAGCAATGATGTCCAGGAGTGATAATAAAAGTATTTTGCAATCCTTAAGATCAGTACATTGTATCTTCCTAAGGGCTCACTCCAGGGCCCAGAGATCATAACACCTCACTAATAGCCTTCAGGAAGTTCTCAAAGACCTGTCCCTGCCTCAATACACACACACACACACACACCCCCTTCTGCTAACCTTTTTGTCCCCTGATCTTACCTAACTTTACTTTAAATCTTTATCTCCCTGTGCTCCCAAACTCATGTGTTCAGGGCCTTTGTGAGCCCTTATTGAGCAAATTCTCTGACCTCCTAAATACTAGTCCTGAGAAATATATCTAAGGTGAACTTTTCATTTCAGGTCAAATAAGCCATTCTTCTTATAAGAACTTCTTAGCTCCCAACAAAATACATTTAAAGGGTTATCATACTTGTATAGTCATAGATCACCTCTGGAAAAATACTGAATGTCTAGGGAATGGGGTGAAAATTAGTTATTTCCCCTATATGTGCTATTTTTTCTTTTGAAAAGTATACACTTTGTATATTCAAAAAATAATTTTTCAAAGGGGACTATTTCCACCACTGTGGAACATTATTAATTCACTTACCTATCTGGTTCCCTTATTACCTTTTCATTCAATCAATAATGTTTTTCCTAGGGCTCATAATTGAACACGATTTACTATCACTTTACTATGACATGAAGTAAAGTAGAAGCAATTCTCCCTCAGCTTCCTTCTGTACCTCAATAAGATGTTATCTTGGGATAGATTCACTTCTCCATTCTGCTCTCTCTTCACACCCTGGGTGTTTTAGCTCCAGGTATCATAGAATTTTCCTTGTGTTTGTGTCTATTTCTATTTAAGAATCTTTCTTTAAAACACTCATTACACATTTTCCAAGTATATCACTGTTCATTTAGACTGAACTCCATAAAGAAAATTTGCTATATTTTTTTGTTCACCACTGTTTCTTCTCCTCATTATCTGTTTCTATCATTATCTGTTTCTTCTCCTCATTATCTGTTATATTTTTTTATTCACCACATTATCTCCTCATGATCAGCTATTTTTTTTTTGTTCACCACTGTTTCCTTGTGGTGTGTCACTTCTATTTAAGAGTCCTTCTCTAAAACACTCATTACCCATTTCCCAGGAGTCTGTCATTGTTCATTTAGACTGAACTACATAAATAAAATTTCCTATATTTTTTTGTTCACCACTGTTTCTTCTCCTCATTATCTGTTTCTATCTATTTATTTGCTAGTTGGCTACAAGTCTCCAGTATTTTCCATATGTAAATATGCCGCTGATACAACATATAAAGGGTTCCAAATCCCCAAATATCTTTTTTTGACCCACACAAGAGTATGATTCCCAAAGCCTTCTAAATCCACAAATATCATTGTTGGACTTAT